TACCTAGTATGTGTATTAAGCTGGTTGTGTGGAGGATAGGAAAAAACTATGTGAATCAAATGTTGATCCCAGGATTTTGTAGTGTAAGTCTTGAAATACTGAGTTCAGAAGAGGAAGAGGTCACATCTAGCTGTGAGAATCAGGAATGCTTGGCTCTTAAGTTGAAGAACAGGTAACATTTCAGAGTTGGGTGTGAAAAAGGCCCTTCTCTGTGAGGCACAGAAGTGAGAAAGGTGAAGTCCATAATAGGGACTGGTATCTAGTTGAGTATTATGTTAGAGTGTGCATAAAGGGTTTTTGGTAATGGAGAAAAAGGAAGCTGAAATCGTTATCAGTGTGGGCAGTCTAAGAGTCTACATTTTATGCTATAGGTTCTTGCCAGAACAAGATGGTATGATCACAGTTGTGCTTTAAGATTTATCTAGATGTTGGGTATGGGACGGATTGAAACAGGTAGTAAATGGGGGCCTGACCAGTCAAGAGACTGTTATTCTAATAGTCTAGGACTATGCAGAGTTTATGAAATTCTGAACTAGGGTAATGTATTATTTGTTTTGAGGGTTTGGAAAGTTTGAAGCAAGTTCTGAATTAATACTTTGTTACTAATTCTACAGAGGTGATTTTTACTGTTGGCGATGATGAGAATTCAGACAGCTTTTCTTGGTCAGACTCCTTAAACAATCCTCCTTAGGGCATTCTTATTAGGTAGCATCATCCTTTCAGCCTGACTTGAATGAGGCATGATAGTGACTAATGGGAAAAGGTTTTCATTCAGAATGTCATCAAATTAGTGCTGTGAGAGACTAAAGAGGAAGGGGGGACTTGATGATGTTGCTTTCTGTGATTCTAGAAGTGGGAAAAGATGAGTATGGGCCCTGGGAAGCATAAAGGAAGAGGTATAGCATGGCAAAAAGAACTAAATACACACATTCTTGTATTTCAAAGCTGTCACTTTATATGGAAAGTGATACTTCATACACAGATTCAAGACCAGAGTAACCATTATGAAAAAAAAGGAAGTTGGATCAAATTATATACCAGACTTGAAGACCATATGAATCAAAAAAAAAGGAATTGGGGGCTTCCCTGGTGGCGCAGTGGTTGAGAGTCCGCCTGCCGATGCAGGGGACATGGGTTCGTGTCCCGGTCCGGGAGGATCCCACATGCCGCTGAGTGGCTGGGCCCGTGAGCCATGGCCGCTGAGCCTGCGCGTCCGGAGCCTGTGCTCCGCAACGGGAGAGGCCACGGCGGGGAGGGGGCCGCCTGCCGCAAAGAAAAAAAAAAAAGTAGAGCTTTAAGACAAACTTGCAGATAGAATGAGGGCTAAACAGAATTTAAATGCTATGGGGGCATGAAAACATTTTCTAATAGTAAGAGAGCTGATGTATATGATCCCAGATTTGCTTTGCTACTAGAGTTGTGAGTATAAGAAAGGATCACTTTTGAGGTAATCCTGGCCCCCCCCCCACCCTTGCAAAGCATCATTCTCTGTAGGAACACGTCATAGGGGATCCTTGTAATATAGCAAGAGTAGCAGGAGCTCCGTAGTTGTAGGAAGTCGGTTTTTCCTTCTACCGCTATGAAAGAAGAAAACGATTGGGCCATTAATGTGATATACCAAAGGATTAGAGATTCTTTAGTTTTGGAGGGAATGTGCCTCTTGAAGTTAGGTTCTTCAGGGCATTCTTGTAGGGTAAAAATTGTCAATATGTAGGCTGTGGCTTACCATGGGGAACCCATGTAGGAACCCGATGCCTATGAGATAGGCCTTCTTATACTATGTAATGTACATACAGGGGCTGCCTTTATTTTGAGGTAAGGATAATCAGCTGAAGGACTTTGTACCTGGGCCCTCCTCAGTTCCACATTACCTCCTCTCACTCACAGTCTTAACATTCTACTGAGATAAATGTAAATACTTGAAGCCATGGATTTTCTGAGAGGTCTATATCTGGGGCAGTATTACTCCTGACATCGCTCTGACCCAAGGATGGAGTCTAATCCTGCTAAGTATGGCCAATTTGATAAAAAGCTTATTCCCAGACGTTTTGCTAATTGAGGTCTTAACTGTTTTCTGATAATCTGTAGTTTTCTATAAGTTGTCGTTATAGGATTTAGCATACAAGTAGTAATTTAAATAACTATTATTAGTTTGTCTGTTTTCCCCCTTAAGCTGTAAGCTTTATCAGGGCAGAAACACGTGTTTTGTTGATCACTGTTTCCTAGTACCTAGCCTATAGGTGCTCAGATACTTGTTGGCATACTAACTCACGTTATTTCATGTATCTAGGATGTGTCTCCCATACAATTTAGAGAGCCATGTGCCTGCTTGGGCTTCCTCATAGCATGGGGGCCTGGTTCCAAGAGTGAGCATCTCAAGAAAGCAAGGCAGAGAAGTGCATGGCATTTTTATGACCCAGTCTTGGAAATCATGTAGTGTTGCTTCTATCATACTTTATTGGTCAGGCAGTCACAAAGTTCTTCACCAGTTCAAGATAAGGGAATATGACTCTCACCACTTGACGGGAAGAGTAGCAAGGGCAAATTATAAGAAAAGCATGTGAAATGGGAGATCTTGTATTGGTCTTTGAACTGCCTTTGAATTGGCCTTTGATTGTCTTTGAAAAAGACAATCACAGTTGTTTGTAGTTTTCATCAAATTTGGAAAATTTTGGGCCATTATTTCTTTAAGTATATTTTCTGCCCACTTTCACCTTGTTTTTTGGAATTCTCATTATATGTATGCTTGATACCCCACAGACCATTAAGAATTTATTTTCAGTTTCTCTCTCTCTCTGCTTCATTTTGGATAGTTTGTATTGCTGTGACTTCAGGTCCACTGTTATTTTTTTCCTGTAGTCTCTAATCTGTTGTTAAGCCCATCTAGTGAATTTTTTGTATGTTCTTTTTCTCAGTATTTTCATGTTTTCCTTTAAATCCTTGAGCATATTTATTGTAAAGTTTGTCTGCTAATTCTGTCATCCCTGATATTTCTGACTCTGTTTCCATTTAACCGATCCCCCACGCCACCCCCTAGCCCCCATTAGATTGTTTTCCTGCTGTTTCATATATCTAGCAATTTTTTGTTGTGTGCTACATTGCTGGGTATCTGGATTTTACTGTCTTTAAAGAATGCTGAAATTTGTTTTGGCAGGTAGTTACTTGCTAATCAAGCTTGCTTTTAAGCTTTGTTAGGACAGGTTTGGAAGTTTTTGCTCTGCAGCTAGTTTAGCTCTACTGCTAAGGGGTGATCCGTCTGCTAATTCTGCTGAATGCCACTGGTATTAAAAAGGTCTTTCCACTTTGGCTAGTGGGAACTCTCCCAGCTCTGTGTGAGCTCTGGGAATTGTTCTTCTTGCAGTTCCTGGCATTTCTTTGTCTGGCCTCAAGGGGTTTCGCCTAACACACTTGTAGGTTAGTATTCAGTAATGGACTGAAGGGATCTCTATGTAGATTTCTGGATGTATTTCTCTGTACTGCAAATCCCAGCCACTTCATCTTCCCCAAATTCCAATCTCAGTCTACTCAATTTATCAAGACTGCAATGCTTTGCCTGAGTACTCTCTCTATACATTGCGTTCTGACAAGTGCTTCCAAGCAGAAAGCTAGGGTGTCCCAGGGTTCACCTCATTTGTTTTCCTGCTCTTGGGGATCACAGTTCTGCACTGCCTGTTATCCATTGTCTAAAATCAGTTGTTTCATGTATTTTATCCAGTTTTGTATGGTGGAAGAGAATGTTCCATACCAGTACTGCAAGTCAAAGTATGAATTTTATGTCCAGAATTTCTTCCATCTTTTTAACCACTTAAAGTACATTTTAGTTTCCAAATGTAAAAATGAAGTCAACTTTGGGCTAGAATTAATAATTTGGGTTCAAGTTTCAGGCCTACTTCCAACTTGGTACATCTCTTCTGTGGCTTTCACAGCCAAATTGAATTGAATATAATCCTATTCTCCCTGCTTCTCAAGCATTCCATAACAAGCAAATGGAAACAAAACCAAATTACATTAAATAAGGATGAGGTATAAAAGTTGACACATTCCAAACCTTTCTGGCCTATCTTCCAGTTCATACTCAAAGTATAAAGGGCCGGGAGATGAAAATGTAGTAAGACTGTTGCTGTTTCATTGCTCCTCCTCAGAATAATAGCCAACTATTATTAAATGCTGTATATGTGCAGAACTTTGTAAGCCTTTTATGTGAATTAACTCACCGAATCCTCGTAACTGCCCTATGGGCTTGGTACTATTATTGTCCCCATTTCACACATGAGAATGAGACAGAGATCAGACAACTTCTAGAGGGTCATGCAGCTAGTAACTGGCAGTGGCAGAATTGGTACTGGTTTGAACAGAAGCTGTGTGACTCAGGAGCCATGCTGTTAACCACTGTGTGACTATTTGAAAACTATTAAAAATGTATCAACTGCTACTGATGTAGAATCATTAATTATCTATTATTTTTAAAAAAGTTATTTACTTATTTATTTGGCTGCACTGGGTCTTAGTTGCACGCGGGATCTTCGTTGCCGTGTGCACAATCTTCAGTTGCAGCACGCGGGATCATTTTTTTAGTTGCGGCATGCAGGATCTAGTTCCCCGACCAGGGATCAAACCCGGGCTCCCTGCATTGGGCGCACAGAGTCTTAACTACTGGACTGCCAGAGAGGTCCCTAGTTTCATTAATTATCTTTAAATATAAAGGAGAGAATAATATCACCTGTGGAATCCCTTCCCGTTTGTTTAGTCAGCCTGCGTGATTTCCATGGGGAAGCAGAAAGAACGGGCTATGGTTGGAATATGTGATTCTTGAGGAAAAACAAACACTATCAGTTGGCAGAAAATGGTGGAAGGCGATGTACAGCAAAGACTAGAGGATATGAGTCGAATCCAAGAGGTCTATTGTGTTTCCAAGAGGGTAACTTGTGTTTATTGAATCCTGTCTGGCAGCTGTTTTGATATTAATAGGTTTCTCTTATTCTTTTTCTCCCCCTTCTCAGACACATTTAATCAAGTCAAGTACCAAAATGCTAACACTCTGGAGAGAGAAAGGCTAACATTTCTTTTACTCAAAGAAGTCGTCCACCTGCAGGCACTCGGCAGACCAGCATTGCTTCCTTCTTCACCTTGCAGCCAGGTATGGTGACTGGCCTGGAAGCAACCAGGGACCAAAAGGGAGTGCATTCACATTTCCATGCTGGAATATCTATGAGAAGTGGTGCCATTAGTGCATTGTGTTGAACTTAGATGACCTATTAGAAGATGTTTTAAAACACAAGAAAGCATTGTCTTTTGGAAAGCAATATATACATACTTTTACAAACATACTTTTCTGGTTCTGTTTATCTCAGTCTAAACAGAACCAGAAAAATATTGGTATTCCCTGACAGAGCAGTGAGGAAAGGCATACTTGGGAGTTGGGGGTGCAGAGGGGAGCTGATGTGCCATTAGTAAGATATATGTCTTGGATTGGCCACAATTAGCAGTCTGTATAAGATTGATAATTGATATGTCTATATGAAGCTTCTCAAATTAATCAAAGTTCAAAAGAGCTTTTTTCTCAGAAAGCTTGGCATAAAGTTGGCTTGTGTTTCATAATCCTTTGGCAATTCTTTGTTTGCATGTTCCTCTTCAGGGGACCAGCTGCCTCAGACCAGGCTGGGGCTTACAGAGCAGGGTTCTTGCCAGTTGAAGGGTGCTAGGAAGAGAGCTCTAACTCTCGGTGCCGTTCCCAGGATTGCTTTGCATAAACCTTCAAAATGCCTTCTCCCTACCACAAACAAAAACTTAAACTCTTTTGCTTTAAGTAACAAGGGCAGATTTTTCTCAAAACCACTTTCCATTTCAAAATTCTGATATTTTCTACATAGTCTGTATTGAAGTCTTAGGCCAGTTGAGAACGCTTTTACAAAACAATTTCTGTAGTATATTTCTTGGAAAGGAAAGAAGAAATTAGTCATTCAGCCTTGTTTGTAATTAGATCTTAGCATAATTTGGTGGGGGGGGGGAGTAGGAATTCCACATCATTTATCTTTAAGGCAGACAGGATCCATTCCACACCTGACAAAGTAGACAGGCTGGACAGTAATAGTTTTTTTAATTGTCCTTTCTGCTGATGGACTTAGCACCTAATTGTGTCTTTACTCCCTTTCCCATGAAATGTTTAGGGAGCAGGAGACCCATATTCTTTCTCACTGTCACCAGAAGGTTTCTCAGCGTTGGCTGGTCAATGTGATCTTTGAGACTTTACAAAAATGGTGTACATTGAACATGTTTCTCAAAGGATAATATCCACGGGTGATATTTGGCCAGGGTCACTATTTAGCAGAAACTATGTTAAATAAAAAACAAAAGCAAAACTGATGTGGCCTATGTTAAACAAACCCCACTCAAGTGGAGAAGTAGGCTGTGGTCTGACTGTATAACATGTTTGACTTTTATTAGGTAGGTCATGGGAAGCATCCATATATTTGAGTAGGGGAATATATAAGAGCTGTGTTTTAGATCATTCAGGAAAGAAAAGAGATTGAAAGCAGGAAGATCGGCTACAAAGATCTGTGAAGAGTCCTAAGACCCCTGCACTAGTAGTTATGGTAGCTGATACTGATTTCAGAAAAAGCCACCTAAATCCTACTCAGGTGGAGTTTTCCTGCAGAATAATATTTGTTCATCTTGTTTTACTAGGAAAGAAAAATGGTGGTGACCAGAGGAGTGTTTCGTCTCATATAGAAAGTCAGACCAACAAAGAGTCTAAGGAAGATGCAACCCAGCTAGACCATCTGATCCAGGGCTTGGGGGATGATTGCATGGCACCCCCTTTAGCCACTTCAACCCCTGCAGGCATCCAGGAAGCTAGACTTTCTCCTCAGTCCTTCCAGGCTTCTTACCACCATGGAATAGGAAGCCCATGCGTGACTGTGCTGTCTTTGTTCCAGCCTGATACCTTTGTCTGTGCTGGAGAGAGTAAAGCATCACTGGCCTGTTCCTTCACCCAAGACCTGGAGAGTTCCTGCTTACTGGACCAAAAGGAGGAAGAGGATTCTTCCCGGAAAAGGGAATGGCCTCATGGATCTAAGAAAAAGAACTATCAGAATGTGGAGAGACACAGTAAAACACCTGGGGACAAGGGCCATCAGCTCTTGGATAAGGCTAACTTGGAAAAGGTGTCTGCCAAAAGAAACAGGCAGGCCCCCATCCTCCTTCAAACATACCAGGATTCCTGGAGTGGAGCATACAAAGAAGGAGTGAAACAAAGCCCTTGTCCTATTCCTGTGTTTTCGTGGGACAGCGAAAAGAATGACAAGGACTCCTGGAGTCAGCTTTTCACCGAGGATTCTCAGGGCCAGAGGGTCATTGCCCACAACTCTAGAGCTCCTTTCCGAGATGTAACCAATGACCGAAATCAGGGCTTAGGACAGCTTCCTAACAGCCCTTGGGCTCAGTGCCAGGATAGGACCACTCAGTTAAATCTGCTGACTGATTTGCTCTTTACCCAGGACTCTGAAGGTAATCAAGTTATCAGGCACCAAGTCTAAATGTCTTTGTGAGGGTTTGGTTCTAAAAGTACCTTGAAATGACATATAAGAAAGTATCTTCAGGGAGTGAGTATATTGGAGTAGGGGAATGTAAGATCTTTGTTTTAGAAAGGTCATTCAGGAGAATGATCTTGGGTGGGAGGGAGGCATGGGATGATGCTGTTATTATTGAGCATTTTCTTTGTGTAAATAAAGCAGGTGGTGCTGCTTGTTGAGACAGTATGATTGGCATCATGCCCCTCCCTGAGGAGGAGGTGGCTGGTATATTCCCTGCATGAGTCTATGGTGAACACTGAGGAGGCAGGGCAGGTGCTCATCTCTCCACTAAAGAGCCTGCTACTCAGCCTGCACAGAGCCACCTCTTTGCCCTTTCAGATGCCTGACTGGGATACTGCTTCTTATGGATGTGCGGTCTTTTAATCTCTGGCTGTAATCTTACCCATGCGACCTAAGCTGTGACCATTATTCTTGACACTTTTTTAAGTGATATGGCAAATCTCCCAGACCCAGGTGTAAAGGGGCAGGGAGGATAGAGAGAGAGGTAGAATGATTGATGAGGTAGTTTTGTTATTTTATTTTTGTGGTAACTTTACAGCATTTTAAAGTTATATACTATATGTTTAAACATCTCCCTATAAAAGGCTGACCTATATAATGATCTAAATGGGACTATATCATTCTTCTACTACAAGGTGGGAGAGAACTCCCTTTGTAAAACTATGAATCCAAATAAATGACTGTTTACAAAGCTGGCTCTGCTGGTAATTAAAACTTACCAATTTTATTTTTGAACACAAGTCTAATTTGACTTGTGTTCTACTCAAGACATCCACTAGGTGGCAGTTTCCCATGTTGCAGGTGTGGTACCTAAGAGGCTTAAAAATAAGCCTCTGGGGGGCAAGCTTGCAAGTTATAAGAAGGGACCGGCTTTGAAAGGTTAGGGCAAAATCTCTCTGTAAAGAAAGAGATAAAAAAAAAAAAAAGAGTTAAGAAGCTCCCTAGGGAAGCCTTCTCTTCTAAAGGCAAGGGGAAGCCAGGAACCTGTTTACAGAAGTTCATATACCTTAAAATTAACAGAAATTCTATACCTGTGGGAGATACTGGGTGATCACGACTCAGAGATGGACACAGCAAATGCAATCTCTCTCCAAATCCTTCCTTTAATGTCAGGTAGTGCTTCAACCCAAACACACACAGGATACATACTGTAGAGAAAAGGGACCTGAGGGCATCTGAGTCATGCATGGTGTGGTAGGTACAAACCTTGGCCCAATGCAAAGGAGCAGTCAAGGGCCTGGAAAAAGGATGGTACTCTTTCCCATT